ATATTATTGTGTTATCAGCATATTATACTATAAAATCATCATTGGGTTCATATCAGTAGATCATGAGAAAGTTTTAAAATCACAAGTAAAATCATCAGTAGATTCAGATTTTAATCTTATCGTTTTTATCTTTTCTTTGGTCAGTAAAAACTTTTTCATTAGAGAAACTTTCAGTAAATTTTTTTTTAATTGAAACTCTTTTTTTTAAACATAAAAAGCAGCAACTTTGAAAAACTTTGAGAGGTTGCATATTATCTTTATTACTTAAATCTTTCTGAAATTTTACAAAAACTGAATTTGAAATGTCAAATTGTGTATCAAAAACAGAATTTGATGTATTATGCAGTCAAATGGTCTAAAAAGTGGCTTGTGTTTTAATCAAAATAAATGTAAAGTCATGCATGCTAATCACTCAAATAAGTCAGTGTGCCATTACTCAATGCTTGATATAGAAAACAATTGAATAGAATTTGGAACAACAATTATTGAATGTAACTAAGGTGTCCTAACATCAAACAAACTAAAAGTTAAGAATCAAGTTGAAGCAGCTAGATAAAACTAAGTACTTGGCAGACTAAAAAAATCATTTTGCACTAGAGGGATAATATTATGGAAGGTACTCTACACAACATGCATTAGACCTCATCTCAAGTATGCCACCCAAGCCTGGTCTCCTCACCTAAAAAGTGACATAAAAATGCTTGAACACATTCAATAGAGAGTAACCAAAACGATAAGTGAGATAAAGGACACAAACTATGAGGATAGACTGGTTATACTCAATCTTACCTCTCTAGATGAGTGACGAATAAGAGGCAACCTTATTCAGTAGTATAAAATTGCAAACGGAATAGAAAAAGTCAACTTCATATTTCCACAAGTATATGCGCAACCGCTATAAGAGTATAATCTGCAATGACATAACTAACAACTAAAACAGCGAATTGTAAAACCTGTCAAAAACAGGACAATTTTTTTACTAATCAAGTTGTTACCAACTGGAATGGGCTATTAGCAAACATAGTCAATGCAAACTCAACTTACATCTTTTTAAAAGTCAATTTGAGGCGCCTTCAAAGCTAACCAGGACACACTGTGTGTCCCAAATTAAGTCATCATAGTGGTGCCTGATGCTGCACCATTCATAAGAGTTTACAGTTTAAACTTTATTTTTATATGATGATTTTGCTTGTTAAATTTTGATTTATTAATAAAAAAATTCAAACTCAAATTCATCTTGTCCAAACTTACAAAAACTATTTTGAAAGAGACAAATTAATCATTTTATAACCATACTTGGCCAAATCAATTTTATAGGTCAAACAAACTTGGCACCTACAGCCACTGATGTAAAAAAACTGGAAACAAATGTGTTTATTAATATTAGATATGTAAAAGAATTATGTATCGAATCTGATGCTGGCCTTCCACAATCAAATTTAATTTCATCATTTCTTGCTGTATTTAAAACATTCTTTGCAGTCAGATAGATTCAGATGCTCTGGGAATGTTCTGTTTTCTTTAATAATGATTACTTGTTTTCTTATGAAAAAGAACAAAAAGCTCTCAGAGTTTTAATTACATCAAAAGTTTATACTGTCATCAAACAAATTTTATAAAGAGTATAATTTATAAAAAATCAGGTTATGTTACCCTGAAAAAGCATGGTACAACCCTGCAAAAACTTTACAAAAATTTTTTCAAAAGTACCTTTGAAAAAAAAAGCGTGTCAATCATTTAAAAACTGAAAAAACTTATACTTTTAATAGTTTTCTGTATTTATAATTACACTTGGGTTAGTAATTTTGATGTTTTTAAAAACTTGTCAGCCTTTTTTTAAACTTGCTTATGGAAGTTTAAAATAAAATGGTCTAAAAATAAATAATTACCTACAACAAACAAATTACATACAACAAAAAATTACGCTATACACAAATAAAACTAATCATAAACAAATAGCAAATTTTTAAAATGACACCTAAAGGTTGTAAATGTGTTTCCGACTGTAGAAAAACAAATCATTTAAATAAAAATGATTTTAATTGTTTAAGAACTTTTAATCAAAGTTTTTTATTTAATATAAATCTAATATAGATTTTTTAATAGAAGAAATATTTAATATAAATTTATATGTTAATAATATAGATCTAATATAGGTTCTATGTTAAATGATACTAATAAAATTAATATTGTTGTTCTATATAATAAAATAACACTGGATTAAAAACCCTTAAACATCAGAGACGTTCATAAAAAAAATAAAAATGTCAAAAGTATGTCATGTTAGGTCTCAAAAGTATTAAAGTTATTTAAAAATATAAAAAATAATTTAAAAAATTTATAAAAACACAAATTAAAGAAATTTTTTTCAAAAAACTATAAACAAATGTAATTTTTCATTTTTTGTTAAAAAACCATTTTAAACCAGAAAATTTACACTAATAATCTTTATATAAAACAATTATTATTTTTAAATTTAAAAAAAAATGTTATAATATTAGGGACCTTTTTGATGCTCAAGGGTCTTGTGCTACCTATAAAAATATTTTTATTCAAAAAATTTTATAATCGAGGATTATTTTATTATACAGAACACCATATATAACACATCTAGGTGTTCTAATACAGGATTTTTTTGAATTATTGTTTTTTAAACCACCTAAGCATATATGCACAGTATGCCACAAAAAAAAAATTCAATACCTAATTTTTCTTTTTCTTTTTCTTTTAGATTAGTGATAAAATTTAATTGATTTTGTTTCATAATGCAATGAAATTTTTTGTTTTGTTCAGCATCAAAAGGTGATTCTAAAAAAAATATAAACAGCTTTAAAACATGGTTAAGAAAAAAAATTGAACATTGCCAGTAAAAACTAATATTCCCAGTAAAAATAAACATTTTAGACTGTCAAGGTCATTTTTGAATTATTACTATAGTACAAGTAAGAACATTTTAATTTCTGAAGAACTAGACTTTTAACTAAATTTTACTTAAAAAAAAAGAAAAGTTAAAGAAAAATTTATGTGTTTTTGTCAGACATTCTTTGAGGGCTATCAATTGCCAATAACAAAAAAGGGATTCACTGTCATGGTGATGAACATAAACTTTAAGCTTGAAATTTTTACCTTTCAAACTTAAACTTTGAGCACATAAATGATACACAGATGGTTCAGAATTAGGTCAAAAATTTTTAAGACTAGAGTAAAAGCTTTTAAAATGCAGACTTTTGTTTCATATATGAGATTTGTTTTCAATTTAAAAAGTTCTGGCACACAGACCCCAATATTCTTTTTTTGACCATATTTTAAGATTTTTTGATACATGAGTGCTATCTGTAAACATATGTATAATCTTACACCGATATAAAAAAATTAGGTTCTCTTCGTATATAATATATATATATATATATATATATATATATATATATATATATATATATATATATATATATATATATATATATATATATTATTATATATATATATATATATTATTATATATATATATATTATTATATATATAATATATATGTTACGCACAGATCGTGAAATTGCGCATTTCACGAACTGTGCAACTTTTTGCTCATTTCGTGAAATGGATAACGCTGTTGCACAGATTGTGAAATGTTGAATTTTTACAGGTATTTTTTTAAATATTTAATTATACTATGTATAATAAATATTAATATTGACTTAAATAAGAAATTGCGACTTAAACGGTGCTGCTACATCGACTATCTTATAGCCTGACTCGCAACGGAGTGCTGCTACATCCACTGATAAATAGCCTGACTCGCAACGGAGTGCTGCTACATCCACTGAGGTTTTGGGTTGGGCAGGTAGTCTATTAATTAAAAAAACATATATTTATTACAAATAATATTTATTACACAGAGTATGTATTAAAAAAAAACAATAAAAGTTTAACATTTCACAATCTGCGCTATCCATTTCACAAAATGAGCAAAAAATTGCACAGTTTGTGAAATGCACGATTTCACGGTCTGTGGCTAACACACACACACAGATATATATATATATATATATATATATATATATATATATATATATATATATATATATATATATATATATATATATATATATATATATATATATATATATATATATTAACATTGAAAAACCTATAAGAAAGGTCAAAGTTATTAAATAACTAACATTTTTAAATCATTTGATAATTTAATAAATACTAATATTTGTTGCTAAATCTGTTTTTATAGCTTCTCGCTTACTTCTTTTGTACACGTAGTTAAGCAAGAACAATCCTAGCTACTTCTCTTTTTTTTTTAATAAAACAATTTTTTAAATAGTTTAATGGCTCACTTTGATGATTCATTGACCACACCAAGAAATTTTTGGTTCAGCATTGATTAATACTGTACAATGCTTTAGCAATATCTTCTCTGTTTGAGTAAAGTTTATCTGTTAAGATAAACACAATTACGAGAGGATCAAATAACTCCATAAGATCCATTAACATCTTCAAATGGCACTGCACTTTCATAACCAACACAATTTTCAATAATATTATATTAAGTCATTAATAAAATAGTTAATCATTTGTTATGCTCTTTTTTAATGTAGAGTGCACAGCATCATAAATTCACATATTGAACAAAACTGATATTTTTTTGATTTTCTAGTTAACAATAATGTTGCTGTTCTGAATCTGTTGGTAATAAAAAATTCTGACATGTGGTTCCATTTATAAAGGACCCAAAAAGGAACCCATAAGAAATTGTTATTCCAAAAAAAACATATCGCTTATTAAATTTTTTTTTGTTTTTATTTTTTTTTTCTATTTGTTTTTCAGGAGTTGCATTAAAAGAGAAAAATTTATATATATATATATATATATATATATATATATATATATATATATATATATATATATATATTCAGGCCTGAAAAAATACTTCCTAAAACCTAACAACTTTCAACAAAGCCGTTACAACTTAAAAATAAACCTAAAACTATGCTATTAAGCAGGTTGACAATACATTTAAACAAACACTTGTTTAATGCAAAATGCACATTGCTGAAAATAATAAGATTATAAATAGAAGCTTTTTATTGATTATATAATATATATGCAAATTTCAAATTATGTGAATAAATTTTTTTGATTGTTAGTTGTAGTATAGTCAGCATTTTTTAAAAAAAACTTTTTTTTTAATTTGAAATTTGTATATATATTATATGCAAATTTCTGAGTGAACTTAGTAAGAATTGCTTCATTGTTGAAATAGCAGTCTTTTCTCGATGTAATGATGCATGCTGCTATTTGAGGAAAAAAATTCTGCTCTTTTTTTTATTAGTTGCGGGATTTTTTCTCACTCTCACAAAAAATATGTGATAAAACAAAAACAAAATTTAAAAAAATTTATTCACAGTTTTTTTTTTATTACTATTTCAGTTTTACAGGTTTTAGGCCAAAAAATAACAAATAAAATTTTTTATGTAAAAAAGATTTCTAATGGGTTCCCTTTTGGGCCCTTCATAAATCAAACCACGTGTCAAAATTTATTATTGCCAACAGATTTGGAACGGCAACATTATAATTATTTAGAAAAACAAAAAATTATCAATTTTGTTCAATATGTGAATTTATGATGCTGTGTACACTACTACACTAAAACAAATTTAGGGATAATGTATAAAAACCATTCTTTAAAACCCAAGTTGTTGGGGAGACCAGGGCTACTTGCAACTTACCCCTGTTGCAAGAAGCCCTGGTCTCCCATACAACTGCATTGTTTGTTAAAAATAATTTAAACAATCTGTTTCGACATGTGTAAAAACAACTTTTTTAATTTTAGAATTGTAAATCAAAAAATGGTTATCATAACTGAACTATCTATGGTAGTTTCTTAAAAAGAGAATTTTGTATTCTTAGTCAACTGCGTTATGTAACAATAATGGAAAAAAACGCTGCGTTACCTGAAAATATTTTTACTATTCAAAACCATGCCAAATATATCAGAGGAGAACATAGAAGCAATATCCCTAAGGAAGTATTCGTAACTGCTGCCCTAATTTAGGCTAAAAATATCCCTAAGGAAGTATTCGTAACTGCTGCCCTAATTTAGGCTAAAAATATCCCTAAGGAAGTATTCGTAACTGCTGCCCTAATTTAGGCTAAAAATATCCCTAAGGAAGTATTCGTAACTGCTGCCCTAATTTAGGCTAAAAATATCCCTAAGGAAGTATTCGTAACTGCTGCCCTAATTTAGGCTAAATATATCCCTAAGGAAGTATTCGTAACTGCTGCCCTAATTTAGGCTAAAAATATCCCTAAGGAAGTATTCGTAACTGCTGCCCTAATTTAGGCTAAAAATATTATTTTGATCCAGACTTATAAGTTATTAAACAAGATTGATAATGTGGACTTTATAAAAGTTTTTAAAATGATTTTCAATTATCGAGAGTAAGCGGTGTCAGGTTTGAACGCAAAAAAATAAAGTGTAACTTAAGACACTCATTCTTTACTAACAGAATAACAAAAACATGGAATAAATAACAAAAACATGGAATAAATAACCAAAAGAAGTGGTTAATGCAAAATCAGCACACAGTTTTAAAGCACAATTAGACAATTGGCTCCTAAATGTGATATTAATACACACTCGTCGTCTTCGGGCGGCTACAGCATCTACTACTACTCCTACTACTACTAACATATGTTTTATTTTTTTACATTATGTTTATATTTAATAAAAAGTAATTGTGTTTTATATCTTAGAAACTTAAATATACTTAAAACTTTTTTTTTAAATCATTTTCTATACTATTTCATTATTTATTAAGAGAATACTTTTTTTTCAAAAACACTTAGGAATCGAAATAATAAATTAGTTTAAATAATAATCCTGGTTATTTAATTTATTCAGTCTTTAAAGTCTTTGAATGTAATTATCAGCTTACTAAAAAAGTCAGGTGTGAAATCTCACTTAATAAAAGTACTGCAGCTCAATGAAAATACTTTCCTTTAAATGTAATTATAAAATTTTTGTTTTCAAATAGAAATTACAAATTAGCTTGTAATTTTTCTGTGAACTATGCAAAGCTTTTACTTTCTAAGTATTGTATTGCAACATTTGATTTTCGTATTTATTTCACTATTGCAGAACAACTAAGTTTTATATTATTTTTATTAACGTTGGATTGCCAAGTCAATAAAATCTATTTTATAACCCTAAAAATAAATTTTTAAAAATCTAAAGTTATAAGAGATAAATTGTAGATTTTAAAATTTTGTTGCAACAAGCCCCAGTCTCCCCTAATTAACCTTTTTGTAGATCAAATTATCAACTATATCTGTAGAATTGTTCAGGCTCAAGATGTTTTTATTTATCCATGTTCCTGTTGAAGTTTGAATCCACATTATAAGACTATGTCTTTTTAAATCATCCCAGACTGATTTCGAGTTTTTAATGAGTCGATTGTCAAGACTAGATGTTTTACTACTTTCATTACTTTTGTGAAAGTAGACAATATGTCTTTCCAAAACATGATATCTACATGGATGAAGTATTGGTCATCAATGTCATTATACCCCTTATTATACCTCTATGCCATTATACCTCCTTCGTGTTTTCCAGTGTTGAAAGCTGTATATTAGCGTAAAAAATATCAACAACTTTATTTAAGACCAATATATCTATAGAGACATATATAAATATATAAATTTTATTTTCATAGTGTTTTTTCCTTTTGCATATTTAAATATA